CATTCCGAGTTCTGTGACGTCATAGGGAGGATGATTCCAATCCAATCAGCTGCCAGCTCATCCTTTACATTCGGAGTTCTATGATGTCTGTACGAGCTGTAGGACCACGGCGCGGTTTCCTCTATAGGGACATCGATGTAAATGAGCCGAAAACGCCCCTTAAACTCTTTTTAACATAAAAGAAATCAGGAGATATACAACACAACATTGTGCAGCCAATCCGCTCGCAGCTTTTACACATATTGCAATAAAAACAAAATGCAATGTGCAGAATAATAAAGATTTTATTATAAAAGGGGGGGCAATTTTACACAAATGCAGGACTGCCTGGTGTGCATGCTGGGACTTGTAGTGCACCTGGCTAGACTATGACATGGCTGTGATGACCCAGGAAAGTAGATGAGAGCCCCCCCCAGCCGGTCAGCCCCTGCTGCTGATGATGACAATAACAATCATCATCACTTTCTCTCTCCCCGGCCCCGCCCACCTCTCCTCCCGCCCCTCCGGCGGCTCCAGCCAATCGGAACGCCGCGCACGTGACGAGCGCTCCATGCGATGACCTCATTCTCTGGTGTGGGATGACGTCAAATTCAAGATGGATGGAATCACGGCGGCAGGAGCTCGCGGATGAATCGCGGACCGGAGGGAGACGGCCGCCGCACGGAAAAGCTCCGCAGCCTGGGCCGGGAGTGACGGTGGGTTGCGCGGAAGTTCTCGCAGAGCCTCCCCAAACGCCAGGCCGTTTCCTTACGCTGACGTAACAACCCTGCGGTGGGTTCTCCGTTCATTTGGTCACGACTTCCCACTTCACGGCGCGCCTCCGCTTGTAGCTGCCAGCTCGCCTACCTCTGTCTCCCCCACACACACACCCTTCTGAGCAGGCAGTCGCTGCAGTGCGCATGCGCCGGTATAAGTAGGGGCCGTTGCCGACTGCGCTTGCGTGCTGTTTCTGCTTGGTTTGACTCACGTGACGCGTTGAGGGCATTTCCTATTGGCGGGGTTGTCCAGCCGTTGATTTTCGCGCTACGTGTGTCCCAAGTCATGTTCTTGGAGACCACGCCTCCTATGACGTGTGTCTATGGGAGAATGGCGTGCGCCGTAGAATTACGTGGCTGTTTCACGTGACGAGTGTTTTGTTTTTTCTTTTCTTAAAGGGAACCTGTCAAAACTAAAATATTGTGAGAGAAATTCTGACTCTCGTGACACTTTCCGGATCTACTAATTATTCTACTACAAGTCCTATCATACCTATGGCTTGGCTGTCAGAGTCTAGCAATGCCTCAAGGGACTTGTAGTTCCCTACCCCCAAAAGTTGCCCACCTCCTGGTGGAGTAAGTCATTAAACTGGTGTCAGTATGCTGCAAGTGCTTCCATTTAGACAGGTCCTCTTTTAACCCTTTCATTGCCAAGGTGTTTTTTGGGGTTTTTTTTACCCGGAAACAGCATATACAGGGCTCAATACCCAGACTGTCCAGCTGAATTTAGACTGGTGGCTACCCTAGCCCTAGGGGGAGAGCAGCCTCCTGACATGATTGCAGATAGGAAAGAAGATGATGCTCCCCTTGCTATCTGCAGGTTTATTTAGTATACTGACAGCTGTTACCAATAACAAGCTGGCTATTGCACCCACCCTCTGCTGCTGTCAATCAGCAGTAGAGGACCTGATGGAGAACTTCAGGTCCACCTCTGCTGATTGACAGCAGCAGAGGGCAGATGCAATAGCCAGCTTGCTATTGGATATTGCAAATTGGAATAGCCAATAGGTCTCTAGCTATGCATTCCTATGCTGTTTTTTTTGTTTTTTTTTCTGACGGCCGGCGGCCTCCGATGTCAGAATAAAAAACCAGACAGCAAGAATAGGTTTACTCTGCTAGATCGGGGAGAAAATGTTTCTCTCCCGTGTGTCTGGGAGCCGCTATCTAATAGCGGGAGCGTCCGGGAGAGTTGGGATGTCTGATGTTATGATCCACATTTTAGGCCTGGAAATTACTTGGAACCCCCAAAACATGATATATTTTCTGAAAGCAAAGACCCCGTAGAATAAAATGGCAATTCTTTATCGAACCCAAAAATGTAGTAAAAGAATTACACTTAAGTTGATTTCAGTGCCCAAAAACACAATAAAATACCCATTTTATTTTTTTTTTGTAAAATATAAAAGATGACGATGAATAAATAGATACCCCACATAGTAGTACAACTATAAATAAATAACTGGCGCCAAAAAGCAATAACTGCTCCTGATAATGTCTCCAAAGGCACGGGGGCAGCTCAGGGAAACCGGATGTCTAGTAACAATAAAGCACAAGGAGCTCCTCCATGGTGTAACACTAATTTATTGTAACCTTGAGTTCTGATGAAAGGGGCTTGGCCTCTGAAACGCGTCAACTGAAGGAGGGTCAGCGTGCAGATGGCTTCAGTTTAGCACGAGCACCTTCATTACCTGCCGACATTTCGTTCACCCATCTTCATGTCATTCTGAGATCCTATCTTTTAATGCTCGTTTATCATGGCTGGTTTGTAAGTAGCTTTTCAGCTGGCTTTTTTTTATTTACAATAAATTAGTGTTACACTATGAAGGCGCTCCTTGTGCTTTATTTTTACTAGATACCCCACATGCCCAGGATAAACATTGCGTGCGTTCGTGAAACGTTGAAAACAAAAAAATACGGTACCCAAAATTCTCCATAGGAAACGCTTTAAAGGCCCCTACAGGTCATCACTTAAAGTGTAGCGTGAGCGTCTTTTCCGTACGTAGGCGCACCCAACGCGTGTTTGTTAATACGCACGCGGTCGTGTTGGCCTGGAAACTTTCCTTTTTATTATTATTTTTACTTTTTTTTTCCTTAACTTTATTGCTATCACATAGGAGACATACAATCCCCCTATGTGATAACACATTGAAGGTGACAGGTTCTCTTTAAGGTAACATTAGGGGTCTATTAGACTCCTAGTGTCACCTTTCCACTCCAAAGAAGCTGGATCGTGCTCCAATAGCTTCTTCCTCAGCTTCTGCATCCGAGCAATGACAGCTGAGGGACAGGAAGTGATGCAGTCAGAGTCGCTTCTGGTCCCATTCAGCGGGCGAGGAGATCGGATAACAAATGTTCGCCGGTCTCATTCCCTTCTTTCCGCTGACACCAGCGAAGCCGATCCTGTGCCCGCAGAAGGGGTAGCGGAGCCCTGGAAGCAAAGGGGAGGGGGGGCACTACACCGGCCCCTGGAAGCGATCTGGCGGCTGCTCAGCCATCAGAATCGCTTCCAGTGTAAAGCCGACAGTCTGTATAAAGGGGTCGTCTGCCAGTGCTGTATGACATAAGTGGGTAGCAGCAATGTTAAAGGCGTAGTCCACCTTTGTGACCACGTTTGATGTTGCACTGGGAGCACCATGGCTATTCCATAGCATTAAAGGTCCTAAGTGCTGTATGGTATGCAGGGGACACCTCTACCCCCTTAATGCTGAAGGCATGTTCCTAACTTTAATGCCTGAGCTGTTTAATGGGCTTCCCAATAATGTGATTGGCTGTCACAGTGATCACCTGATCAGGAGCCTGTCCAACTTGTTCTCCCTCTTTACGCTGCGACCTGAAGCTGTTGGTGACAGGGTGGTCACAGTGCTGGGAGCACACATTGAGCGTACTGAACCGGAAAACAAATTGTTACACATATATGTGGCAGCATGCAAGAAGGCTCTCCTCTGTGCTGCCACATATCTGCGTACAGGAAGTGGGAGGGGGTCAATGTGGACATGGATCCATTGAGTATTAGTAGTAGTCAGATGTTTATTATAAATTACCTATAAAAAAAAAAGGTGGCAGTTCACATCCAATGTAGGCATTACATCAGTACAGTGGCGTCACTAGGGGGGTGCGGGCCGCACTCGGGTGACACCATTAGAGGGGTACAGTCCATTAACCCATCGCACTCAAAACCGATGTTCCTTATAAAAAAGACGGGTGCTGCGGCAGTCGAAGGATGGCAACCGTCTATAATCACAGAACAACGTAGACACGGGCATTGCAAGTAATGAATCAATGGCGTCTGTTTATTGACGCATAAAACATACAGTAGCACAATGCATCGAAAAGCCTTTTTGATGCATCGTGCTATGTTTCATGCGTCAATAAACGGACGCCATTGATTCATTACTTGGAGTGCCGGTGTCTATGTTATCCTACCATTAGAGGGGTGACACCAAAATGACCGACAGTCATTTTGGTGTCACCCCCCACCTGAAAAGTCGGACACTCGGTTATGGACCGAGCGCCTGACAGTTTCGGGAGAGAGGAGGGGACCCGGTGGCATACCTTATCCCTCCGGTGACTGTCCCCTCCTCTCTCTGCCGGTGCCCATCACCAAGACGTCACGGCATGCGTGGTGACGTCATGGCGGGGTGTCACACGGTAACCGCTCCGGGTGACACCCGGGCTCGGGATGCCCCTTCATCAGTATCTGCTGTTGTCAGTTTTGAATTGGTATGAGCTGAGAGGCATTGTTGTTATAAATACATACAGGGTTATTCACAAAGGGGTGAAGAGTTTGGAGATTTCAGGAGAAGGGAACAATCTAGGCCAGGGATGGCCAAACTGCGACCCTCCAGCTGTGGTGGAACTATGAATCCCATGAGGCTTTGCAAGATTCTCAGAGCCACAGACATGAATCCAGGAGAGAGATGCTTCATGGGATTTGTAGTTTCACCACAGCTGTAGGGCCGGAGTTTGGCCATCCCTGATCTAGGCCAACATAGCTGAACTGGAAAGTGAGCTGAATTGGAGAATTTTTCTAAATCAGCTATTCTGTCCTAGATTGTTCACTTCTCCTGTCTTCTCCAAACTCTTCACCCTTTTGTGAAGAACCCTGCTAGTTAAGCCTTTCCATCTATGAAATGAATAAAGTGTTTCCTCTTCTAGCGCACCAAATGATATACAATAAATTCAAGAGAACCTGTAGCGCAAATGTTCATGCATGGTTGTGTTTTGTTTTGTTTCTAGGTTTTTCAGAACAATGGATGGCCTTCTACATTACATAAATCCAGCTCATGCGATTTCCATTCTAAGTTCGTTAAACGAGGAGCGTCTGAAAGGTCAGCTGTGCGATGTTCTTCTGATAGTCGGTGACCAGAAATTTAGAGCACACAAAAACGTCTTGGCCGCCAGCAGCGAATACTTTCACAGTCTGTTCACGGACAAAAACAACGAGTCTCAGGCGGTCTTTCAGCTGGACTTTTGCGAGGCTGACGCGTTTGAGAACGTCTTGAACTACATCTATTCGTCATCGCTGTTTGTTGAAAAAGGAAGTCTTGCAGCAGTTCAGGAATTAGGATACAGCCTTGGAATAAGTTTCCTGACCAATATTCTTTCCAAAACCCCACAGGCACCATTTTCTTCTCCCAGCAAGAAGTCGTCTCTCCATGAGGAAGATGAAAGTGGGTCTCAGCAAAGAAGCGTTATCGTCTGTCAAAGCAGAAATGAGGTCCAAAGCAGAGACTCGTGTAGTCAGGACAAAAGCCAGACAAAGCCTTCAACATCATTGGGGAAAGCGAGTTCTGTTAAGCATCACATGCGACCGGGTGATTCCCTTGCCGGTTTCTTGTCTTCTGAAAGGAAGTGGCATGGGCTCTCTAACTCAGGTGAGCCACCCTTAAGTGGTTCGCTAAAGCGAAAAGCAACATTTCATCAAAAAGTATCTGAAGGACACGATGATTATCACAATGACCATCCTTCTGCTGGATCATATCCAAGGGGAAATGAGATTTTGAAGAGGAAATTGGCATCAGCATCTTTACTTGGCTCAACGGAACCTCTGTATTCGTCACAGAAACCGGAAAAAGACGCTTTGGAAATGAAAGATGAAAGAAACGTTCTGAGTTATCCTCAGCTGGGACTTGTTGCGCCTTCTGCCAGATTCTCAGGCCCACAGATTGACCGTAGCGGTCCACTTGTTAAGAGTCTTCTTCGAAGGTCATTATCTATGGACAGCCAAGTTCCTGTATATTCGCAAAGTATTGACTTGCAGTCTGTTCAGGTATCATTATCCCCACGTGATAATCCAAATGAGGATGTGCCTACTGGAATATCTCAAAGGCACTCTTTAAAGGGAACTCTAGATAAACCTGGTATCCGAGACAAGGACCAGGAAAAGACAATGGATCCTTTAAGACCCTTTAGTTCATCACAGTCAACTTCTACAGAGAATGACGTATGCATAAAGACTGAGCCTAGCAGCCCCGCTTCGGAGCCATCAGAGGTGATGCGAATAACCGTAGGAGATGCCGCCCAGAAAAGAAGTAGGGCGTTTCCTGTTAAATCCGAACGCCCTCCGCATTCAGCTAAAAGAAAAAATCCGCCTGAAAAAAGAATGCCACCTTTAAGAGTAAGATTGAAAAGGAGTAGTTCCCCCGAATCTGATGGAAACTTTGCAGCCCTTGGCGATTTCTCGGACTCGGATGATAGCAAGGAGATGGTCATCGCAGCGCCGGATATCCTTCAAAACAAAAAGTTCAAATGTAAACACTGCCTTAAAATCTTTCGATCGACAGCCGGCCTTCACCGTCACGTTAACATGTACCATAACCCCGAAAAACCCTACTCGTGCGACATTTGCTACAAAAGGTTCCACACGAATTTTAAAGTGTGGACGCACTGCCAGACGCAACACGGCATAATGAAGAACCCGTCGCCTGCTTCGAACGCACAGACAGTTTTGGACGAAAGATTCCAAAGGAAGTTAATAGACATTGTAAGGGAGCGGGAAATTAAAAAAGCCCTTATGTTTAAGTTGCGACGAAGCAAATCAGGCTTTCCTGGATCTTCTAGCAGCCAAGCACAAGCCATGAAAAGAAGCTTGAGATCGAGAACCAAAGCTGCTTTCACTTGCAACCAGTGTGGGAAATCTTACCGGTTCCTCACGCAGTATAAACAACACCTCAAAATGCATCCGGAAGAAAAATCTACGTATAGCAACAAGAGCATCAGGCCTAAGGTAGCTTCTCCCCCGAAGAGCCCAGAGGAGAGCAAGGAGGTGTATCCCTGCCGGCTCTGCAATGTAAAGTTTGCTTCGTTTCTCGAACAGGGGAACCACGAACGCATGTGCAGAAATGCTACGCTGTGCCCTTACTGCAGCCTGCGGTTTTCAACCCCGGAGCAGAAAAACGAGCATGAACCAAAGTGCGAATATAAGAAGCTGACATGCCTCGAGTGCATGCGAACATTTAAATCTTCTTTCAGCATCTGGCGTCATCAAGTCGAAGTCCACAACCAAAACACAATGACGCCGACGGAAAACTTTTCACTGCCCGTGCTCGATCACAACGGAGAGGTCGGCATCCCGCCAAGGTTGCCGTCTTTGTCCGAGTCCGGCAAGGGCGACAGCTTTCTCGCATCGAAAGACGACGGCGTTTATAGCGACTCTTCGGAACACATGAACTTCGATTCTGAGGATTCAAACTGCCTCCCGGAGGACCTTAGCGTTTCCAAGCAGTTCAATGTTAAAATTAAGGAAGAGCCCGCAGATGAGATGGACGATAGCTCGGAAGCTGTCTACGGTCAACAGGAAGACGTGGCTGGCTCCGAGCGCGGCAGGTGGTCGTGCGAAAAATGCGGGAAAACGTTTACAGTTCATAAGCAGCTGGAGCGCCACCAGGAACTCTTGTGCTCGGTCAAGCCTTTCATCTGTCACGTATGCAACAAAGCCTTCCGGACGAACTTTCGACTTTGGAGCCACTTTCAGTCGCACATGGCACAAGGTGAAGATTCGTCTTCTTTTAAAGAGCCAGAAGCTTGCGCTCCTGTCAGCTCTCCATCTCCGCCTCCACCTCCCCCGCCACCTCCGCCACCTAAAATACCGCCTATAGAGCCGGAGAGGCGGCCGTCTTTTCCAGAAAAATCGGGCGCGAACGAAAAAGGCTTTGCCCCTCAAGAATCAGATACTCTTTTTTACCACGCCCCCCCTCTTTCAGCCATTACCTTCAAACGCCAGTTCATGTGTAAACTGTGTCACAGGACCTTTAAGACCGCGTTCAGTTTGTGGAGTCACGAACAAACGCACAACTGAACCCCCCCGGTGCTACAATATATGTGTTATTTTTGTTTTTCCTTTCCTGACATAGTGACCTTTTCCTTTTAGATGTAGGTACACTGCTGAATCCTGACCAGAGGGTTTGGCTCTTCTATGCTGTGCCATACGCTGGTGTAGCTGCTATTTTGTTTCACCGACATACAATTCTGAGCATTTCTCGCTGCACTGGACTGCACACACAATGTTGTTCATCTTGTGTTTTGGCGTTGGGTCTTTTGGGTGAACCAGTTGTTGCCTCAGTGTATTGCTGGCTTTAAATTAGACAGGGATGTGATGTTTTTTAAAGACCCTTCTGAGTTTCTCCAATTATGCAATACAATCAACACCTGGTTGTGACTATTATGTGAATTGGAGTGACATTCACCATATTTATTCCCAGATAATTTTTGTACAAGTCATTTTGAATTGAGAAAGCTGGTCGGACGACCAGTGAAACGTCTTCCAAGAAAAATGCAGCAGGTCCAGTTGCCTTGACTTATTTTTTTACAGATATATCATGACCTGGATGAATGAGAACCTTCACAGACGTAGACAATAATATGCAGTCGCCCCCCATTCCCTCTTGCAACAGTCTCCACTCATCTGTGAAGGCTTTCGAGTGTGTTTGCCAATTTTTTTGCCAATTTAGCCAAAAAGAGCCTTTGTCAGGTCAAGTACTTATATTAAACAAGGAGACCTTAGCATTCCGATTCACCCCAAAGGTGTTCAGTAGGGTTGAGGTCAGGGCTCTGTGCTGGCCACTTGAGTTCCTTCACACAAAAGTCATCAAACCATGTCTTTATGGAGCTGGCTTTGTGCACAAGAGCAGTTTTACTGGAACAGAAAAAGAGGCTTCCCCAACCTGTTGCCACAAAGTTGGAAGCGCACAATTGTCTAAAACAGGGGCAGGCAACCTCTGCTCTCCAGATGTGATAAAATCCCTGCGGCTGTTGGAGTCTTACAGTGGGGCTTAGTTACGAAACTGATGGGACTTGGACCGCCTTCTGCCAGATCCTCAGACCAACAGATTGACCATAGCAGTCCACCTTTTAAGAGTCTTCTTCGAAGGTCACTATCTATGGACAGTCAAGTTCCTGCATATTCACAAAGTATTGACTTGTAGTCTGTTCAGGTATCATCATCCCTACGTGATAATCCAAATGAGGATGTGCCTACTGGAATATCTCACAGGCACTCCTTAAAGGGAACTATAGATAAACCTGGTATCCGAGACAAGGACCAGGAAAAGACGATGGATCCTTTAAGACCCTTTCGTTCATCACAGTCAACTTCTACAGAGAATGACTTATGCATAAAGACTGAGCCTAGCAGCGGCTCAGACTCGCCTCCCCTTCAGCCATGTGACATCTGTGAGCTTCCTCACCGGCACCTACATCTTCCCCAGGTCTTCTTCCAGCTTCGGGATCTTCGAGGTTCTTGATTTGCCATGCCAGGATCATGTAACTCCCGCATATACTACATTGTTTCCCGGTCTTTGGGGGTTCGGGATATTCGGCCATCTTGATTGGCTGTGTCATGATGTAATTCCTGCACAGGCGTGGAAGTTCATTCATCCCGCCATATGCCAAATTTTTACACTGAGCTGTGCATGCATTGTAGATTGAAAATAAAAAGGTGAACAGGTAGGTAAGAGTCTTTTATTGCAGAAGAGACTAACAGGGTTATTCACTAAAGGGTGAAGAGTTTTGGAGAAGGCAGGAGAAGTGAACAATCTAGTAGGGATGCACGGATACTGGTATTTCGGTATCGAGTACCAATATTTTTTTACCGGTACTCGCCGATACCGAGTACCGGAAGTCCCATTCAGGAAGCCAGGCGGCGTGTAATGACTCGCCACCCGGCTTCTCGATTAGCAAGGAAGCCATCCCCATGCTTCTCGTCACTATGTGACGAGAAAGCATGGAGCCGGCTTGCTGGCCAATCATGGAAGCCGGGCACCGTGTAATGACGCGGCGCCCGGCTTCCTGACTGGCCGGGAAGCCGGCTCCATGCTCCCTCGTCATGAGGTGACGAGGGAGCATGAAGCCGGCTTTCCAGCCAACCACAAAGCCGGGCGCTGCGTCATTACATGGCGCCCGACTTCCTGATTGGCCAGCTTCCCAACCAATCAGGAAGCCGGGCAGCGCGTCATTAGATGCTGCCCGACTTCCTGATTGTCCGGTAAGCCGGTTCCATGCTCTCTCGTCAGTGACGAGGGAGCATGGAGCCGGCTTCTCGGCCAATCAGGAAGCCTGGCAGCGTGTAATAACGCGCTGCCCGGCTTCCTGATACAGGAAGTATCGGGCTAGGCATCGGAGCATTTGGGCGAGTACAAGTACTCGCCCAAATACTCTGTATTGGAACAGATACTGATACTAGTATCGGTATCTGTGCTTTCCTACAATCTTGGCCAAAATAGCTGATTTGGAAAAATTCTCCAATTCGGCTCACTTTCCAGTTCAGCTATGTTGTCCTAGATTGTTCCCTTCTCCAAACCCTTAGTGAAAAGCCCTGTAAGATGTATATGTATAAATGGTCACAGAGCTAATAGCTCTGCGAACTTGTAAGATTTATATTTGCAGTGCATTATGGTCACTAGATGGAACTGAGGACCATAAGATGTTCCTATGTTCCTCTGCCCAATCTAGTGACCATAATCCACTGGGAATCTAATACTTAGATGTTTGCTGTGCGAATGTTTACTATATACACCCCTTAGTATGACTTTTCTGCAATAGAAAGCCTGCCTGGTTGCTCTTTTTACATTTTTAGTATTCACAATAATAACCTCCTTTCCTGGAAGCACATGAACTCAATACATTGGAGGGGTGACAACATACTTTTGGCTGTATAGATGACCGGGTGTCAACTCAGCTTTGGCCATATAGTGTATCTATCTTCTACTAAGATTATAAGGGGGGTTCTGGCTTCTTTATTGGGGTTCTGGTTTCTGGCTTTATTGAGGAAACCGAGATGGGGAACTATGGCAGAGACAGCTTGCTGATGGAGTCTCCAAGAGATCTGAAACTCTAGTGACCCAACCAACGAGACGCCTCCATCGTTAACATATCATTTTTAGATGGACTTACCCTTTAAGCTTCAGCAGTTTACCGTTTCTTATTTGTTCTATCAGAAATCTTCAACAATTCCTTTTCCAACAATTGGGTCATTTTTAATTTTTTACCACCCACCAGTTTCAACTACCGACCTTTACCGTAAAAGACAATTATTTATCCATTGACAGTTCTTGAAGGCATGCAAGTGTCTAGATGTGTTTTTCTTTATTTTACAACAGCACAATGATACAATTTTTACAATTCCTTTGATTCAGGGCGGGCAGGTCAGCGGAGGGAAAGTTTGTACTTCATTTACTCTGTAAACTAGATACTAAATCAACTCGGAAAGCACAGTTTGAAGTTACAGAATTAGGAATTTACAATGCTTCATGTCCGTGTTGCTAAAAAAAAAAATGAGGCTGGGATTACTACAGATCTGTCGCAGCGTACTACTCAGTGAATTACAATACTTTTATATAAACCGTTTTTTTCCCATTTCCAGAGTTGGTTGGGGAAAGTCGTATGAGGTTAAATAGGGTAAATGTGCATAGAAATTGCCGTTACTATTTTTTTCCAATAAAAAAAGGTACATTTTGTCATCAGTTATTGTTGTTTTGGTCTAATCTTTATGTGTTATGTACCAATGAGATCCTGTAAGCGCAGGCAGATCAAAAGTTAAAGCCAATATAAATACATAAGTGAAGTAGAGGCAGAGCGGTCCTTATAATGAGGCATGTGTTTGGGGCGGCAGAGTGACATGGCTGCCGTGCAGAATAATGTTTGCAGCGTACCTGCTGCTCCCCTTTCCAGCCAGAGCGTCCCAGGTTGCTAAGAGCCAGGCGGAAAGACATATTAATGGCCATACACATCTCCCTGGCCAGCTCTCAGCAAACTGAGATGCTCTGGCCAGTGTCCCACCCAGCTTAAGGCAACCAGTCAGCTGGGCTGGACGCCGGCCAGAGGCGGATGATGCAGGAGCCACCAACCCACCCTGAACGTGCACCGCCAGCACCCAGCCCACCCTGACCGTGCACCACCAGCACTCAACCCACCATGAACGTGCACCGCCAGCACCCAGCCCACCCTGACCGTGCACCACCAGCACTCAACCCACCATGAACGTGCACCACCAGCACCCAATTCACCCTGACTGTGCACCGCAGGCACCCAATTTACTCTTACTGTGCACCGCCAGCACCCAACTCACCCTGACCGTGCACCACCAGTACCTAACCCACCCTGAAGTGCACCGTCGGCACCCAACTCGCCTTGAACGTGCACTGCCAGCACCCAACTCACCATGACCGTGCACCGACAGCACCCAACTCACGCTGACCCTGCACCACCAGTACCTAACCCACCCTGAAGTGCACCGTCGGCACCCAACTCGCCTTGAACGTGCACTGCCAGCACCCAACTCACCATGACCGTGCACCGACAGCACCCAACTCACGCTGACCCTGCACCACCAGTACCTAACCCACCCTGAAGTGCACCGTCGGCACCCAACTCGCCTTGAACGTGCACTGCCAGCACCCAACTCACCATGACCGTGCACCGACAGCACCCAACTCACGCTGACCCTGCACCACCAGTACCTAACCCACCCTGAAGTGCACCGTCGGCACCCAACTCGCCTTGAACGTGAACTGCCAGCACCCAACTCACCATGACCGTGCACCGCCAGCACTCAACTCATCCTGAACATGCACTGCCAGCACCCAACTCACCCTGAACGTGCACCGCCAGCACCCAACCCACCCTGACTGTGCACCGCCAGCACCCAACCCCCCTGCCTGACAATATTGGGATCCAACTTGGCTGCCTGTCAGCTAGCTTCGTCTCTAGAGCCAGCTGCGCCAGTTCCCTACCAAATCTGTTCCACCAATGAGCGCTGGAGGAGCATAGAGAGGAGGAGGAAATCCTTGCAGGGAGCGATGACTGTCAGTTCCTGCTCTCTGCAAGGAGAAGGGA